GTGATTTAAGAGTACTGGATCTTAAACACAATACACAACTGCACAATCCAACATTATACGGACGAGTGTGTTTTACTGGTACATGCCCACACACACACACAAACCTGACGAGATGGTGTATTACCAAGACTAGGGTGATTTAAGAGTACTGGATCTCCAATACAATACACAAAAAAACTTGCAACATTACAGGGACAGAAGTGTTTTACAAGTGCTTTAATTATGACTTCAATAATATCATCATAAACATTGAGTTTTTTTTTCAGTTTTACCATGTAATTCCATCATGTCATGCCATTTTAAGTGTAAAGTCACATCCACAAACTTAAAAACATGGTCAATGATTGACAAAACAGCCCTTTGAAGCAGACACATTTTAAAGATGTCATTAAACAGGCTTTGAAATGTATAAAATTAACTCACTCAACATACAATAGATGCTGCTTAGTGCTGCACAGTATTGAAGAAAAAAGCGATATGCGTTAACTCATTAAATAATGCGATATTCGATACAGTAATGTTTAAAGTGTGTAAAACAAACTTAAATTATCTATTATTTAACCTTACATACATGTTTCACATTCTTTTTGTGACAAGAAAACATCAGCTTCTGAAAGTGAACATCAGTGTTTTACTGTACACTGATATTAAAATAACACTTCTTATGCTAAAGCACAGGGTTCAGATTATCCTACATTAGGATTATTTAACAACAGAAACTGAATAATCAAATGTGAAAATAAAACACTGCTTAGTTTTCACTGTATTATTTACATATATACAGTTATTCAGCAAACAGCAGTGAGTGATTTTTCTTTTGTTCATGACCCCAGCTATTGCAAGCCGTCGCGATATGCATATCGCGATATATACATTTGCAAAACAAACCAAATTACAACGGACGGTTTACCTCTGTTATTTCCAGAAAATATAAACAGAATTGTCAAGTCAAGTTTCAAAGCAGATTTACAGGAAAATTATTTAACAAAGTTTGCTTGGGTTGTACATCAGCTCTAGAAGCGTCTAGTGTTAATATAACTATCATTGTAAGTACATGAGCTCCCGTGTGTTTAGAGCTTACTAAAGCATGTATTCTTCTGCGCTGAGAATGAGAGTGAGGTAGAGATTGAAACTCCACGGAAAGGGTCTTCAGTGGTCTTACACTTCTGCCATTCAGTCAGTGTGGCCAGTTTTCCTTTGGTTATATGTGCCTTAACATGTTTAATTGCAGCTGTAACTTCAGCATTTGACCAGCACACTTTTTGTCCTTTCCACAAGGTTTTCAATTTCTTCCTCACTGTCATTCTCTGTACAGAATACAACATGCTTTGTAAGTACATGAGCTCTCATAGATAAAGCTTACTAGATGGTCATATTCTGATTTAAACCTCGGGTACCTTGAGGCACGTCAGTGGTTTTCTCGATGGGCATCTTCTGAACACCTGGAAGAAATCAGTTATATACTGATCAGAAACTCAGATGTAACTCAAACCTGTATCTAGAGCTTAAAACTGGTTTTACATCTGATATCTAAAAAATACATTTCAAATGATATTCAGATGAAATGTTGTGTTAAACAGATGCTTTTAAAGTTTTAGACCAACATGAACATCATCAACGTATTGGTATCGGCCAGAATTACAATGTCGGTGCAACGCTGACTCCATTAATGTTCTTCTAGAAAAGGTGCACACTATAGTGCAAATATCTGATTATTGATAACTGATTATTGACTGATTATTACAATTAATGACAAAAGAAATGTTAAGAAATGTAATCTGATATTACCTACTGAAACACTATAGCATTATATATATATATACACACACACACACTGAACAATTATAAACGCAACACATTTGTTTTTGCCCCCATTTTTCATGAGCTGAACTCAAAGATTTAAGACTTTTTCTATGCACACAAAAGGCCATTTCTCTCAAATATTGTTCACATATCGTTTAAATCAGTGTTAGTGAGCACTTCTCCTTTGCCGAGATAATCCATCCACCTCACAGGTGTGGCGTATCAAGATGCTGATTAGACTATGTGATTATTGCACAGGTGTGCCTCAGGCTGGCCACATTAAAATGTGCAGTTCTACTGTATTGGGGGGTCAAAAAACCCTCAGTCAGTCTCTGGTGTGAGCACCATTTGCCTCACGCAGTGCAACACATCTCTTTCGCATAGAGTTGATCAGGTTGTTGATTGTGGAGTGTGTAATGTTGGTCCAGTGTTGGTCCACTTGCTGGATATTGGCAGAACCTGGAACACACCGTCTTAAACGCCGATCCAGAGCATCCCAAACATGCTCAATGGGTCACATATCCGGTGAGTATGCAACATGATATTGTTGCATACTATATATGCAACTATATATGCTGCAACATGACACAACAATGGGCCTCAGGATCTCGTCACGGTCTCTCTGTGCATTCAAAATGCCATCAATAAAATGCACCTGTGTTCATTGTCCATAACATACGCCTGCCCATTCCATAACCCTCCCGCCACCATGGGCCACTCGATCCACAACGTTGACATCAGCAAACCGCTCATCCACACGACGGCATACACGGTGTCTGCCATCTGTCCTGTACAGTGAAAACCGGGATTCATCCGTGGAGAGAACAGCTCTCTAAAGTGCCAGACGGCATCGAATGTGAGAATTAGCCCACTCAAGTCGGTTACAAGGATGAACTGTAGTCCAGCCGAGACCCCGATGAGGAGGACGAGCATGCGGATGAGCTTCCCTGAGACACTTTCTGACAGCTATGCAAACTGGTTGTTGCAGCAGCAGTCCGGTTGGCTGGTCTCAGTCTTGTAGGAGAAGAGGCTGGATGTGGAGGTCCTGGGCTGATGTGGTTACACGTGGTGTGCGGTTGTGAGGCCGGCTGGATGTGCTGGAAAATTCTCTGAAACACCTTTGGAAACGGCTAATGGTAGAGAAATTAACATTCAATTCATGGGCAACAGCTCTGGTGGACATTCCTGCAGTCGGCATGCCAATCGCACGCTCCCTCAAAACTTCGACATCTGAGGGCATTGTGCTGTGTGATAAAACTGCACATTATAGAGCGGCCTTTTATTGTGGCCAGCCTAAAACACACCTGTGAGGTGGATGGATTATCTCGGCAAAGAAGAAGTGCTCACTAACACATATTTATGAACAATATTTGAGAGAAATGGCCTTTTGTGTACATAGAAAAAGTCTCAGATCTTTGAGTTCAGCTCATGAAAAATGGGGGCAAAAACAAAAGTGTTGCGTTTATAATTGTTTTCAGTGTATACAACTGGCTTAAAACAATTAAGCCAGTTATATACGCAACACAGTATAATTTTAATTTGACCATTGGGTGCGGATACTTAAGTCAGAGAGCATTATTAGGGCGTGTGGATGATGTGTGTTTGGCTGTGGATTCGGGTGACATTGGAGCTCATCTTACTCTAAAGCAGTGAATCTGCACGCAATAACAGCTCGGGTGCACACGGCTAACTTGGTTTATCAAGTTAGTGGTATTACATCCTGCATAATCTGTGTGCGTGACATGAGCGCACACAGCGCGTGTCTTCTCCAGGTCTTACCGGGTTGTTCATAAAAGCCAAATGTGGCCAGATGTAGGCTTTTAAAGTAGTTGGAGCATTTTTATTGACTCGCACTCGGGGGGACTCGCCTCCCTCTGCCAGTGTATGCTACCGCAACAAAGCACATACGTGATAAATGACGTCAGAAAAAAGCGTCAGTGCATTATAACCGGTTATGGTCTATTACTGAACCGATACCAAATCGTCCTCGTCCGCATCACGATGCATCGTAGAAACGATTCATTTCGACACCCATAACAAACGCAGTCATGGCGCAGCACAAAGTGAAATTGTTGTGGACAGCAGAGATGGAGGATCAGCTAGATTTGTGGCAACAGCACGAATGTTTATACAACGTGTTATGTAAAACCTTTCCAAAAACTATTCTGTATTCTGTATTCTGAACTCTTGCGAGATTTTGTGCTCACAGTCGAGACTCTGGTTAAAAACCTGTTCGTGTGTGGAGCAAAACTATAAGAGCAAAATGGTTAAATCTAGGATTTTTGGAAAATCTTATCACATTTTGAAAATCTTATAAGATGTAAAAATTATTTTGGTGTGTACCCAGCATTAGTTGACACATACCAACATAACTAGAGACGCTGCAGCTCCAGCAGCAACATCTCCTCCAGAACCGCTTCCATCAGGATCACTGGCAGCAGAATCCGTCACACTGATCTCATCTAAGAGAAAAAGAGACATTTAAAACAAGAACATCTTCAGTTTAACCTGTATTCAGATGTCATTTATGAAACATGAAAAATTACGCCGTTTAATAATAATAATAAAAACTATAATACTTCACTAAGATGCCTATTATTCGAATTATCGCTAAGACCGTAATATTCTAAAACTGTCAATGAAAAATTAATATTTTATAATGCGTATATTATTTTACAATAGGAGGTTATAACACTTTCTTAATTTCGTCACTTAAGCTGTTATACTGGCAGAAACCTGCAGTTTCAGTGAAAACAGGTTTATAAACGCATCTTATTACAAAATCTTATTACCACAAAAAATGTGGATATAATGCGAATGTGAAAATAATGTAACTGGTGCTGGTTGCGTGCCAAATGCATGTTAAACTCAGAGATGGAGTTCACTGCATTCATTCCCTGAGAAACGGGGCGTGGAAAAAGGCAGATCATGAGCTGATCGAGCGAGTAAAGTGTGCTCTTCAGCACTTGCTTAATTATCGACTTTTGCCATTTGATAAGGGCGCTATAAACCATGTTGTACTTTTGATTTTAGTTTGTTTGAGAGATGCTTTGCCAAAAATAAATAATATTTAAAAGAAATATGATATAATATAAAATAAACAAAGACAAATATTTTTGGTTCATTTGGATCAAACTGTGGTGGGTCACTAGAGTAAAGGTAATAAATGGTAACACTGTATAAATTTGACTCCGAAAAAATGCCAAATAATAAACAGTTAAGACGAGGCTATAATGACATGTTATAGTGAGATATGACAGTGCTTCTGCAACACGCATCACTACAGATGAGTAGCTGAGTATCTCTTCAGCATTCTGATGCGCAAAATACCAATTGAAAACTAAAGTCACAGATGATCAACAGAGTCATCTTGATGATTTTACCAGTGCAGATGTTACTCTCTCTCTATTGATCTTAAAATTAGCTGACAATACATAAAATGTGGCTCATAGTGGTTGCTTTCAATGACGTGAACACCTTTAAATCTGATATAGCGTGGGATTTGAAGATTCGGATTTATATCCGTTTTGTGAACACATTTATGTGGCCAGGTGTAAATGGAATTGTTTTGACAATGAAATGACCCGGGGCCTTTACCATGAAGCTGGTTTAGGTGGCTAGCCAGCTATGTTTCAGTTTACTTTGCGCCAACCCTGGGTTTAAGGCACCATGAAAGTCTTTTAGTAATTTTTAGTAATGTTTATTTAGAATAATAAATTTGTATGATTTAGAAATTATTATTCCCTTAATCTATCACACATGTACAATTTTAGTTCATCAACTACAATGCAGATTTTAAATGAATAAATAAATATATAAAAGGTAACATAAATATACTTTAGAATCAATAGATAAAGCTATAAAATGCTATAGCTATAAAATAAATGAAGCTATAAAACTTCACAACTTTTACTTGCACTGATATACAGTGACAAGCCTTTTTCTTTTAGTTGTCCTCTTCCATAGACAGATATTTTCTTCTTGTTGTGTAAATTTGTTTAAATTCTTAATATTTTAATATTTCTATTTAATAAGTGAATTGTGCTGCTTCTCTTGCGAGAAATGAATTTCAGTTTTGAATGAGTTTCTCTTTCTCAGCATGTGATTCGCTGTTGGCTACTGATGTCACACCTAAACTCAGGATCAAAGCCTGAGTTGACAGAGAAAGTTGATGATCAGCATCATGGTACAGGCCTCAGGTGTAAAAAAAAAAATATGATGTGATAAAGATCTTACTAGACTAGCAATTTCTAAAATGATGCAATGCTCTTTTTATTACCATGTCAACACAGTCTTGACTCTTGACCCTCCAATGATGATCTGATATGGTCCTTCTCAGGGCTCATCTGAAAGCAAGGTAAAGAAAGAAAAAATTAACATTCTACTAAAGACAAAGGACTCAGAGATTCTCCAAATGAAGCAGCACAGATACTTGACTCCATCAACACTGACTGATCACGGTCATAAAACATAAGATTAAAACAATTTCACATTATCAATGATATACTTGAGCAAAAGAAGGCTGATCATGCCAAAACAAATTCAGGCATGATGGTACATTTCAAACCACTTAGTATTAATAGTGATCAATTAATGAGATGAATAGGACTTCAGTTTTAAAACAGGGTGACATACGCAAGTTGTGATCATGTATATAGTTAAAACCCTATAGATATATGGTCATAACCACTCAGAGATGTATGATATATAGGGCTCCATATCAGTATTGGAAAATAAATTTTTAATGTTATCGTTGTCAATTCGATAGGAAAATTAGGTTGATTAACACTGATGAATAATGGATTATGTCCTTCAGCTTCAGATGTGCGCTGTTCCCCATGATGGTTGTGAACAGTTTGAATCACAAAATCTGTGATCTCTTTTATTTTGTTATATGTATATGTATATATATATATATATATACTTTATCTCATATAGAAATCATTTGGGCTGAGTAAATGATCGCTGCAGTAAAGCGCTTCACTGTAGGCCTAGCGGTGATCATCTCCTTTAGCACATGCGCTCAAAAAGCAAAGCAGAACAATAATAACTATGATTGGGACTGTCATATACATAACATTATAATGAGCAACTACTGCATTAAAAACTTTGTGAATTCTTTGGGTTTAGCTGCTGTTTCATCCACAACAGGAGTTTCACTATGTAACTTTTCTCAAGTTAATGTCTGCATGATTTTGTATATCTAATCAATCATATATAGGCTGTGTTCCGTTGAGCTAAAACCATCTAATAAAGCTTCAGTTTATGGGTGTTCCTTCAGCTCTTAAGCTTTAGCACAGCTCAAACACAACGCTATTTGAAACAGAAATATTAAAAGATGTTTACTGTAATATTCAAATGTTTAATATTAAAAAGTTCTACATGTTTAAAAAACACTGTGCGTTATTATTCATAACTAGTACTTTTTTTTGTTCTTGTATCATTTATCAACAATATATGGTTTGAGTAAAATCATTCCCTTATTGTGTGTGCGGAGTGGACTTGGCAAACCCAGACAACTTCCGGCAAATTTAGATTTACTCTGCAAGTAAGTCTGGCATAGACCTCATTCAAGCCTATTTCTAATCCGTCAAAATCGCGGAACTTATCAGAAACGTTGGCTTCCATTGACTCCCAATCATTTTGGTGACAGCGAATAACTTTACATCGAAGATGTCCAAAGACTCCATTTGTCCA